AGCCTAGGCAACATGGTGAGACCCAAGTCTCTGACAAATTTGAGAATTAGCTGTGCATGTTGGCACACCTGTAGTCCCAGCTACTTAGGAGGCTGAGGTGGGACGATCATTTGAGTCCAAGAGTTAGAGGCTTCAATAAGCTGTGACTGGACTTCTGCACTCCTAGCCTGGGGAACCGTGTGAAACTTGTCTCTTTTAAAAAAAAAAAAAAAGAAAGAAAGAAAAGGAAATATTTTTATTGAGCCATTGTTGACTATGTAATGGCTCAATATTTATGTAAAAGATGAATATTTCAAGATTTTCTCATTCAAGATTAATAAAGACATTCCAAAACCATTAAATATATGTTTGGAAGTTCATAAAATGATTCTTGGGGCTGAACAAATCTGAAGTTTCAGTGTTTGTGCTGTCATTAGATCTTAGTTACCTTAGGTGCTACACTAGATTTTTGGACCAAGAAAAGTTACTTGCAAAATATCAGGGAAAGTTAATTAGTGTTTGACTTTACTTATACTTTTAAATGATTTCCATCTACTTTATGTAGTTTTAATTTAATTTTCCTTCTTTTACAGCTTTGTAGCATATTTGATACTTATTAATAATTTAGCTTCTTTAAAACTTTAGGGGAATGGAGAAGAGTTTATTCATATTAATGATAAAAATAGTGTGAACATAACATTTCCCCCTAAACTTTAGGAATAAATTTTACTTAAGACTTGTAAGATAAAACATAATAGCTTAGGAGCGGCACCTATGGCTCAAAGGAGTAGAGCGCCAGCCCCGTATGCTGGAGGTGGCAGGTTCAAACCCAGCGCCAGCCAAAAATTGCCAAAAAACAAAACAAAACATATATATATACATACATACATACATATATATGTAGCTTAGATGAAGCATTTGGGCTGTTCTGTTGCCTGTTGTATATATGTAAATTTTATTGATTAAAAATTGTTAAATTTCCTAAGTTAATGAAAGTTGTTCCCTAGTTAATGATCATTTTCATTCTATTTATAAACACGTAGTATTTTGCTAACATGTGTAATAAAAATATAGAAGTTACATAGTTAATTAAAGAAAGAGCTTTCTTGTCTGTATACATAGTAAAAGATAAATAGCTATAAATGTGTGCCTAGATAGTTTTTATAATTTAAATCAGATTTACTCAAAGCTTGGTAGAGGCAAAGTAATACGTTCAGGTGAGTGGTGACAGATCTACGGGGGTCAGATTTGGAAGATAGACGCACGTGACACCTCTTTACAGGGATTTACTTGACCTCACATTTGATCAGACAACAGAGGAAAGAAGATTCTAAGGAAAATGTGCCCAGAGGGGGTTGTGTGTGAGAGAGAAAGAAGGAGAGAAAGGCATGAAAATCAGAACTCTTCAATTGGTACAGAATACCGGGACGTTTGGGATTGACATCTTCTAGTAGGCCTCCTTTTATGATTTGGTTGGGAGGTTCCCTTCTAGCTTTCCTTGTTCTTATTTAAATTTTTTTTTGAGACAGTCTTGCTCTCTCTCCTGGGCTACAGTGCCACAACCTCAGACTCCTGGGGTCAAGCAATCCTCCTGCCTCTGCCTTCTGAGTTTCTGGGACTACAGGCACCTGCCACAGCACCTGGCTTATTTCTGGTTTTAGTAGAGACAGGGTCTTGCTTTGCTCAGCTTGCCTCAAACTCCTGACCTCCAGTGATCTTTCCACCTCCGCTTCCCAGAGTGCTAGGATTATAGGTGTGAACCACCATGCCCAGACTAAGTTTTCCTTGTCCTTGAAAAAAGTGATATAGTGACATGGTAGACTATTTTTGAGTCTTGTGAAATTTAAGCAATGTTTGAATTACTGTCACTAGGGAAAATTTAATCCAAAACTATATAATTAATAAAAAGTACCCCAACTTCCATTATCCCTATCTTCTATATAGGAATGTCAGAAAATAGGGCCCTGAGCCTTTGCTTCCTTCTGTTCCTTGGCAGAATGAATATCACTAAACAGTCAAGGGCACCCGCCACCCCATATCTGCCCTCAGAACTCTTCTGAAGATAAGATTCTATACAGCCACTGCCATTCTGTTAGAACTGATACAAGAGGAGAAGGCTATGTGCTCTGTAAGAATTGAGTGTTGCCAAATTATGTACAACAAAGATAACAAAGTTTTGCTGAAAAAGAATTATGCCAAAGGGCAGTGCCTATGGCTCAGTGAGTAGGGTACCAGCCCCATAGACCAAGGGTGGCAGGGTTCAAACCCCGCCCCGGCCAAACTGCAACATAAAAATAGCTGGGCGTTGTGGCGGACGCTTATAGTCCAGCTGCTTGGGAGACTGAGGCAAGAGAATCACCTAAGCCCAGGAGTTGGAGGTTGCTGTGAGCTGTGATGCTTCTGCACTCTACTGAGGGCAATAAAATGAGACTCTGTCTCAAAAAAAAAAAAAAAAGAAATTATACTGAAGTGGAAGTTATTATTTTACAGTGGAAAATACTTGGCATGTAATAATTTTTCTTCTCTGAGGTAATCTAAAATTTAGCTAATCATGGTTGCCAAATACTAAGAGAAGAGTAATACCCTAATAATTAAGAACACATATTTTTTAAACTTGCATTTCTAATATAGTGCCAAGGAATAGTTTGGGAGGGTCTGGCCCAAACTTCTAGGTTTGTAATAATGTTGATGGTAATGACATCTAACTTTCAGAGAGAGACAGAAATCAGGAGTGTTAGTTCTGTAAAGTCCCAGAGAGGTATAGAGTGCAAGGATGAGCACACAGAGCTGGAAAGTCAGGCAGTGACTGCAGATAACTGTGAGTGAGTGGTCTGTGCTGGGCAGTCTGGTGGGTTTTAATCACTGATGCTAGGTCCAAGGGGAGACTGTAGACCCTGTGAAAGTGATGGCGATAATAAGCCAAAGCTTTCATTCTTCTTCTTTTTGAGACAGAGTCTCACTTTGTCACTCTGGGTAGAGTGAAAGGAAGGCTTTTTTTTTTTCTTTCTGCAGTTTTTGGCCAGGGCTGGGCTTGAACCTACTACCTCTGGTATATGGGGCCAGTGCTCTACTCCTTTGAGCCACAGGTGCCACCCAAAAGGAAGACATTTTGATGACATTCAGGACATCAAGGGTCATATGATGACAGCTCTGATGACCATTCCAGAAAAAGATTTCCAAAATTGCTTTGAAGGGTGGAATAGGTGCTGCCATTGGTGCACAGCTCCCCAAGGGGAGTAGGTGACCTTAGCGCTATCTAGCAAAGAAGTATGTTGGCACTTTTTCTAGGATGAGTTCATGAACTTTATTGTCGACCTGGTATAGTTGAACCTAGGACAATGAAATTTAATTAAATTTTCTAGTACCTAATGTAATTTTTTTTGTTATTACAATTACTAATGTAATTGTTATCTGTTCTTTTTGCTAAAACTACTTAATAAGTGATTCTTCTTTAAAATAGCTTTTTTTTTAATTTTAAAAGTATCATTTAGTCAGCCAAATTGGCAGAAATATGTAACTGTATATATTCCTTGGTGATGAAGAGAAAACATTAATGTTGATTCAGGCAAATATCATTCAGGTTTTTTTTTTTTTTTTTTTTTTTTT